ACACACACACACACACACACACACACACACACACACACACACACACACACAGCACATGAACTATGGAGGCCATCCTGCTCCACCAAGTAAGGACCCTGAAATGACAGCAGGAACGCCCATTCAACACCCGCGTCTTCCCTGATCGCCCTTGATTGTAAGCATACTTAAGATAAACTTTTACTTCAGCTTGGTTCCGTCAGGGGTGCCCCCCTGAGAAGGGCAATGGATCCCAGCACCGTGAGTGAACCAGCCTGCTCTAGGAAGCTCTGCAGGAGGCGGGTACGCCGCGCCACACAGCAGGAAGGCGTGCGCCCGAGAGCTACCCATCGACCCAGCACCAGCACAGGAAGCCTGGGTGTGGAGTAGCCGCTCCAAGGCCTTGCCAGCCCCGAACTGTACCCCTCGTTCCGCGGGGGAGAGGGGCGGGAGCTTGGAGCTGGAGAGGGGTGAAGGAATCCGCCCTCATTTGCACATTGTCTGGGGCCGGGTCAATTTGCTTAATCACCGCTCTAAATGCCAGGCACACAGCACACAATGCGCTCCCATTAACAGGTTTAAAGTGTCGCAGCGCTCGCTTTAAATGAGAAAAGCCGGCAACAAAGGGGGGAAAAAGCCAAGTAAGAATGCCTTGGGTCGCCCTCCAACCATCTCTGAGGAGTTTAAAACCCAGACTTCTGCAGAAAAATTGAGGCCCTGGTGTGAGGATTGGGGGTGGGGACGAGGGTCGTGAATAATCTACACAAAGTAGTTTGTACAGCTCCCAGCAGTCCAGGGAGCTCGGCGGTCAGTGGCTCACCGCTCAACCCAGGCTCCTCCAGGCCCTTGACCAGCTTTCCCTCTCGCCAAGGGAAAAGCTGACGGAACTCCAGCAAGGAAAGAGAGACCCCCCCCCCACCCCCGCCTCCGAAAGCAGACACAGATCCAAGTTTTCCTTTGGAAGAAGCAAGGGATTTGGGAGGCTGGGAGGAGGACCCAGCAGGCCGCGAGCTCCCAAAGGCGAGAAGTTAACAGAACTTTACTTTCAGCCCGTCACTGGCCAGTGCAATCCCACACTAGGCCGCCACAGGGGAGTTTAACTCCGCAAACAAGTTCTGCCCAGGCTCGGCGCAGGAGGCCCCATCCCCCACAGCACGGCGGAGCCCGGGGGCGCATCTCGCCGGCCCCGCGCCCACCCGTCCCGGCGCGGCCCGGCTGACACTTACGGTGCGCGCCCCGCTGGGAGACAGGGGTCCGTTGGAGAGGTACGGGCTGCTCAGGTCCGGGATCATCAGGAAGGGGTACCCAGGGTAGGCAGGTCCCTTAAAGAAAGCGCCGTCCTGGGGCCTTCTCACTGCGGACAAAACCAGAGCGGAGGGAGGTCAGGGGCCCCGCGGACGGCGCGGCGCTCGGGACCTCCGGGCGGGAAGCCGGGGCCCGAGCGCCCCTCGAGCGAGCCCCAGCGCGGCCGCCGGGGGAGCGCAGGGGCTCCGCGCGCGGGCACGGGCCCCCGGAGGGCCGCGGCGGCCGGGGAGCGGCGGCTGCCGGAGAGGGACGTACCTTCGGCGAAATAGTCGCGCGGCTTCTGGAAAGCGTCCCGGGCGGGCTGCGGGCGCCTCTCCGCCTGCGGAGGAGACACAAAGGCGAGGGCGGGTGAGCGCGAGCGGGACCCGGCGGCCCGGGGCCCAGCCGCCCCCGGGGTCCCTTTACCTCCGAGTCCGAACTGCTGCTCTGATTCTCCGACTCGTTGACCAGGGACGACTTGACCTCGTCCAGGTCCCTCTGCGCCGAAGCGCTGTCGCTGCTCGGCTCCTGCTCCTCGCCCCCCTCGTCCTGGAAGGGGATCAGCTCGTCGTTCGCCCCGAGGTCGTCGCCTCCGCCGGCCGCCCCGGCACCGGAGCCACCGCCTCCCCCGCCGGCACCGCCGCCGCGGCCACCACCGAGCTGGGGCATGGTGGGGCCACGGGCCGGGGCCGCCGCGCTCGGAGCCCCGCGCCCTGCCCGGCCCGGCCCGGCGCCCCTCCCTCCCGCTCGCTGGCCGGGCTCCGCTGGCCTGGCCGCCGCGGCGACAAAGTTTTGACAGGGCGTGGCTCCGTGGGAAGCGGGCGCGGCGCCGCCCAGCCGGGGCGAGAGTCGCTCGGCTCCCGATCGTCCCGCAGCGCGGAGCCCGAGCTCCGCAGCCAGCCGCCGCCGCCGCCGCCGCCGCCGCCGCCTCCTGCTCCGCCGGGGCGTCCCAGCGCCTGGCCCGCCGGGGAGGGGCGATGGGGAAGGAGGGAGGGACCGCCCGGCGGGGCAGGGGGGCCGGAGGGAGGAGCCCCGGCTGCAAGCTGACACCCGCGCCTCGCCGAACCGGGAGCGCTGCAGCGCGCGCACGCACACTCGCACTCACACTCGCGTCCTGCTCGCTGGCACCTTCCGGGGACCGCGCCTCCGCTCCCCGGGCGGCCGCCCTACCCCTCACGCTTCTCCCTAGCCTCTCCGCCGACCCCCGGGAAGCCCCTCTCGCACTCTCCCGCAAAGCCCGAGAGTCTGGCCCTCGCGCCTCCTCATCCCCTAACTTTTCTTGGCAAACGGCCCCCAGAACTCCGCGCGGGGTAGTCCCACTCCTCTCCTCCGCACCGGCGGGCGGCACTGCCCCCTGCGGGAAAGCGGAGGACTAGCAGATCCGCCGAGCACAGCCGCGCGCACTGCGTGGTTCCTGAGCGCAGGCTCCCACCGGCCCTTCCACCCAGCTGGATGCAGAAAGAATTTGGTGACACTTCAGAACACGCTGAGCGGCCTTCCGTCCCTTTTCCTATGGTGTCCCGACGCGTTCCTGGCCCCCAAACTGTTTTGGGTCCTCGGTAAGGTACTACTGAAACCCTGAAGACCACCCTTTCTTTCTCTAGAGCTGGAGAAGAGTGTGAAATCCAACACTCACTGTCTTACAGTCAGAAGGGATTTTGATTGTATTCGTTTCCAGGAGGAATTCTCACCCAGAACTTCCAGAGCTGATTATGAAGCTGCCTAGATAGCCAACAAGCACAATAAGCAAATGACCAAACCAGCTTCATAGGTAATGAACAGTGTCGAGAAAGCATTTCCGGGCTGACAAGATGGCTCAGTAGGTAAAGCCCCACGTTCCATGTCGGGTCCCCACATGGTAGAAGTAGAGAACAGACTCCCTTCCAGTTGTCTGGCTTCTGCCTGTGGGCCGTGCCGCACGTACTCACACAGCTCAGGGATAGAGTGTGTATTTACCATTCGTGAGGGCCTGTGTTCAGTCCCCAGGGGACTAGAGAGATTCACACATCTTCAGTCCGCTAGGAACTCCACTTGGAATTGTCTATCGGGGGGAACTATTGCTGACAACATAAATTTTAAAATCAGTCTAGAGATCAGTATACCACTATTTTAAAATGTCTTAAACACAACTTAAAGCTGGGTATGGTAGCCTGTGCCTTTAATCCCAGAACCTGTGAGTTTGAGGCCAGCCAGATGTCTACACGTCTCTCTACAGAGAGAGACATCCTGGGCTGCATAAAGAAACCCTGTCCTTAAAAACAAAACAACAACAATTTAAGCACAGAGGCATTTTCTCGCGTTCCCTTCGGTTGGGACAAAGGTGCAGCTTTGAGAAGTGAAGAAGGGGATGGAGAGTGCTTCAATTCATCCGCATCTCTTTCAGTAGCACCCACAGCCAGCGGCTGCGCAGACGGAGCTCCTGCTGTGCTGGTCAAGAATGGGTTTGAAGAAGCACCCTTAAAAAAGCTTAGTACATATAGCTTTCATTCTTTTATTAATTTTTTTTTTCTTTTTCAGGGTTTGGGCGATGGTGGTGCATTCCTGTAATCCCAGCACTCAGGAGTTAGAGGCAGGAGTTCCAGGCCAGCCTGGTCTACAGAGTGAGTTCCAGGACAGCCAGGGCTACACAGAGAAACCCTGTCTCAGAACAAACAAACAAACCAAAAATTAGGTGACAGAGACATGACAGTTGCAGTGATGGCTTGGGGGTAGGCCACGGAGCACTGAGCTAAGAGTAAGCTCAGTGCCGGAGGCTGGTGGCTGCTGCTCACCCACAGCCTACCTGGGCCACCTCCAGCGCTTGGTCAGAATACCTCCTAAGTGGCATGAGGTCTTCCACAGCCTCCTCATGTATGCATGTGATTTTGTAGACTTCTTTTTTTAATGAAAATACTTTTTTTGGGGGGTGTATAAATGTATGAAAAGCTCCTATTGGTTCTCTATGGCTACTATAATAAATCAGTACAAAGATGTTGGTAGCTGGGAAATAAGATGTTACCTCAACGATAGAGAGCCTGCCTAGCGATGAGGTCCTGGGTTCGGTCCCCAGTACTGCTGAAGAGAAGGGCGGGAGGTGAGGAGGAGAGGGGGAATAAAGAAAAGAGAGATGGAACCAGATCCCTCCCAGGGTTCCAGCGAACCTTCTGCTAGCTTCTGGAGCTGTTGGTGCTCTAGCTTTGGCCCCCACCTTGCAAACTTCTGTTATCTGTGGTCACACTGGAGTCCTGTAATGGCCTTTAGAGACCATCCCACGGGCTCAGCATCATCTTTTTGCCAGGCTGCAACCCATGGCTGAGTCAGATCATGAAAGACTGCTTGACCTACCTCACTCGAGGGCTGCAGGGTTAAGCCACAGTCCTGTCTGTCACTTTGGGGAGTGAGCTGTTGCCAGCCTACCACACCTGTCAGCTTGGAAGAAGTGCAAACTGAAGCAATACAGAAGAGCATTTTCTCACCTATCAGATTGGCGCAAGCAGAAAGACGGGGTAACACCCAGCCTTGGCCCCTACGCAGAGAAGCACACAGGGCTCCAGGCATGCCGTTGTGTAAGATTTCTGAAAGGGAGTTTGGCAATACCTTGGAAAATCTTTAAAAGTGCAAATGCTTTGACTCCTCCTTGTACTTCTAGGATTCCATCCTAAAGAAATGGCCTGGAAGAGAGCGTTCACCGCAGTGGAAAGCTGGAAACAATCTTGATGCTCCTTCACAGGAAATTGTGGTACTTCATTCAGCAGAGCATCCTGACATTGTGAAATAAGTGTGTTTGTCGGTGTTCAAAGAGCCTTATAGCATAGGGAAAGCAATAAGTTAAACAATACGCGGACGCTGGGGAGAAGTTAAGGGGCACTGGTTGTTCTTTCAGAGGACCTGGGTTCGATTCCCAGCACCCCACGTGGTAACTGACAACCACCTATAGCCCTTGTTTCACTTTTCATGTGGGTAAAACACTCATCCACATAAAATAAAAATAAATTTAAAAATGCCTGGCTGCTAGGCATGATGGCACATGTGTGTCATCCCAGCACTGGAGACAAAGAGACAGGAGGGTCATAAGTCCAAAGCCAGAGGCTAGCTTGGGCTACATAGTGAGTTGAAGGCCAGCCTGGGCTACCCGAGTGTGGTTCCTGGCACCCCCAGTAGCCGCACAGCCTCCTCTAACTGGGTGCCAGGGGATTCCATAGCCTACACTTTTGCCTCTACCTCCCAGGCGCTACCTTGCCTAGCTCGGGATCAAACGGAGGGCTCCTGTCAATGCCGGGCAAGCCTCTGTCACCTGAACTGCACTCCCCGGTACACTTCACGTGCCTGGTGCCTGAATGATCGTCATCAAAAGCAGTACGGGGCGGGCGGGAAGTCGAGCAGGGCAGGCTCCCGCAGGCAGGAGCTGATGCAGAGGACTCAATTGGCTTGCTCGCCATTGCTTGCTCACCTTATAGAACCCAGGGCCACACACAATGAACTAGGCCCTCCCCCACCAATCGCTGACAAAGGAAATGCTCTACAGGCTTGCCGACAGCCTAATCTGTTTGTTTTGTTTTATTGAGACAAGGCTTCTCAGTATGACAACCCTGGCTGTTCACCTGCTTTCTTTGTAGACCAGGACGGCCTCCAGCTCACAGAGCCACTCCTGTCTCTGCCTTCCAAGTGCTGGGGTTAAAGGGGCGCACCACCATTCTCAGCTATTTGAACACACTCTTACGGAGATATTTTCCCAATGGAGACTCCCTTCTTTCAGATGACACTAGTTTGTGTCAAGTTAATAATAATAATAATAATACTAACAATAATAAAACAACTAGGCAGCACAGAAGGAAAAGAGGGGCTGGAGAGATGGCCTGGCAGTTAAGAGCACTGACTGTTCCTCTGGAGGACCCAGGTTCAACTTCTGGCACCCACACTGTGGCTCACAACCGTCTGGAACCCCAGTTCCAGAGGACCAACACCCTCACACAGGCATGGATACAGACAGAGCACCAATGCATATAAAATAAAAATACATTTAAAAAAGAGAAAGAGACAGCCACATTTCTCTTCACCAGAAACGCAGCTACCTAAAATGTTTTGAGTTCAGGTCTTTATAAAAAAGAATAATACATTTTAAATTGCTTCTATTTCAGGAATAAGAACTTACTTATCATTCAGAAATTCAATCAGGGCCAATGAGAGGGCTCAGCAATTAAAGGCAAGCCTGGAGACTTGAGTTCAGTCCCCACAAGCACACACAAATAGATGATAGCGATAGATAGATAGATAGATAGATAGATAGATAGATAGATAGATAGATAAGATAGATAGATAGATAGATGTAATAACTTTTAATTGTTAAAAACATTTACTGACTCCTGGAACACACAGTGTGTAACTCTGGGATGGAGAGCTGCCCCCCCCCCCCACAGGGGCTGCTCTTCTATGGGATCCGAGTTTGTGTCCAGCAGCCACATGGTGGTTCACAACCATTGCAGTTCCAGGGGCTCTGAAGCGTTCTGTGCTGTGGGAATCACCACCCACCTGTTGCTCAGGCAAAACACTCACACTTATAAAATAGTGTTAAAAAAATGTAAGCTGGGCCTCTGGAGGCAGAGGCAGGCAGATCTCTGAGTTCTAGGCTAGCCTGGTCTACAAAGTAAATTCCAGGACAGCCACACCAAGAACTCTGTCTCAAAAACAAAAACAAAAAAAACAAAACAACAAACCAGACAGACAAATGATTTTAATGAATATCTCAAC